TGACAAGTGACAATATTGATATTTATTTTGAAATTCATCCAACAGAGAAAGAGTTCTGCTGGTACCAGTGACGGTAAATCAGATATCGATCCTGCAGATGACTGTGCAAATAGTGTTAAAACTTCGGTACAAAAGGAAACTTCCCATTCACAATCGAACCTGGTGTTTGGCTATCTTAATCTATTCTCTGATGGTGTTGTAAGTATAATTTTTCTGTGTATTTTTGAAATTTAATGTTCTTGTCCTTTAACAGTTCTTTTCAGTTTACTTATAATTGATTGAGTGGAAATATTTAATTTTAATTAGATTTTTTTTGTTGCTATTGCAGCACAATTTTACAGATGGGATGGCTTTAGGAAGTGCGTTTTTGCTTCATGGATCTGTTGGTGGGTGGTCCAGAACTTTATTTTTGCTTGCACATGAGCTTCCCCAAGAGGTTTGAGTTCCTTTGATTTGATGAGAGTAATTTATGCCATTCTAAAGATGTCCTTTAAATTTGTAAATAACGTTGATGTCTGGTAATATGCATGCAATACGGAAAACGGAAAGATGTAGGGTTGAAGATACATCTTAGAATCATTATGCTATTCATTTGAATTTGTTTTCTTTGGGATAACCTGTTATATTGTTCGACTCCCATGACTTGTTTTATTCCTCTGTGCAGATTGGGGATTTTGGTATATTGGTAAGATCTGGTTTCAGTGTTTCCAAAGCCCTGTTCTTCAACTTCCTTTCGGCGCTAGTGGCACTAGCAGGAACTGCTATGGTCCGTATTCTTCAGAGATAATGCAATAATTACTTAGAATACTATGCAGGATGGTTAAAAATTTGTTGCTTTTCCTGTAGGCTTTGCTTTGGGGGCAAGATCCGGGACAATCATCTTTGGTCGAGGTAATAGGGAGACCTGCAAACCATGTTCGATAAAGTTACTCGTGTTGGTCATGGGCTCAAGTGTACAGTGTTCTTTGGTTATTTCCTTTCTTGCAGGGATTTACGGCCGGTGGATTTATATACATTGCCGTTGCTGGAGTGCTTGCAGAGATGAATAACAGTGGCAAAACAACATTGAAAAACACTGCAGTGCAATTAATCTCACTAACATCCGGCATGGCTGTTGCCCTTTGTATTGCACTTGTAGAATAATAATAAAAAGAACCATTCGAGACGACTTTAGTGTTGTTCAAATGACCTCGAAGCACCTGCAGGAAGGACCGAGTCAACTCTTTCTTCGGACGTCGGGTTCCTCGGCTTTGAGGGGTAAGCTACATTATTAGGAGATAGAAGGATAAATGCTGATAAGCTTGCACCTTTATCTGAACTTTTGGACAAATTTCTCACCCTAAAACCACAGTTGAAAACTACATCTCTTGCATGTTCTCTTCTTTTTGTTAACCTGTAACATTATATTGTCTGAAAATAAGTTTAAACGGATCCTTCTTTTTTTTTTTAAAATGATAGTGGAAATGCTTACAAGTATTCTAAATAAGTCCTTGCACTTTCTCACTTCATGTAAATAAGCCCTTTTGTATACAAGTTCTTAAGCTTTGCCACTTCATGTAAATAAACCCGTATACTTTTATCACATCTAAATAGACCCTTAAACATTAATTGGCTTCCAAATAAGTCCTTAATCTTTGACTTGTATCCCTCTAAGATATTGTTGCGTTTGCGTATACGGAGGCTGTTGTCTCTTACTTCTGCTTTTTATGACTTTATACGTTCCGCCGCTGCCTAATTTGATTAGCCCAATCGAGAAATCTACAATGCGTAGTTTGATTGGCCATTCGAGATGCCTAAAAGTTCAAGGAGTTAGACGTTCAGTCAATTAATTCTGTGTAAATGATAATAAAAATATTTTATTTTGTCAAAAACGTATTTCGGTGATCAAAAAGTATATAGGGTGCGTTTGGTTCACGGAATATAAGATTACCAGTGGGAATGTAAGATTACCAAGGAATAACATTACTGGGAATGTTGTATTTTGTGTTTGGTTGGCTTAGCAGGAATGTAAGATTACCGTGTTTGGTTAAAGGAATAAAAGATTATTGGAATGTATATTTGACCAAATTATCCTAATTATATATTTGTGTAATATTACAAGTTGGAAAATATTTATATATTTTCTTTAAAAAAATTAAATTCATAATATTTATATATTTTTTACAAAATTAAAAATAAAAAAAAGTTTAATGAAAGGGTAAAATTTTATTTAAACCCTTGAACTTTATATAAAATTTTAATTATAGATTTTTTTTTGTAAATCTAAAATAATTTAAGGATAAATTTGTAATTTAACATTCGTAAAATTTTTATTATTCGATGACAGAATAAATATATTTTTGAAAAAAAATAAAAATTTAAGGGCATTTTAGTCCAAAACGCCGGTAATCCAACAATACCTAAGGAAAGGGAGGTAATGACATTCCCGGTAATATACCCCAAAAAATCCACTATTGGTAATCTTACATTACCGGGAATAGGATTCCCGGGCTAACCAAACGGGGGAATGTGGATTCCATCCCCATGGGAATCCCACATTCCCCAATCCAAACACCCCCATAGAGTAATATATAAAAAATATTTTATTAAAAAAATGATAATTATCAAGTCAATTTTTATTTTAAAAAATAAAATTTTAATTCAAATAATTTGGAGAGCACAAAAGAAACATAAGGTGAATGATTTGATTGGTAGGTGACAAATCAAATTTCACATCTTACATTCAAATCATGTCACGCACCTGACCGATTAATACGGGCCAACCAAACTTTAGAAAAAGAAATACTATAATAATAATTATAAAAATATATTGCGTGAATATCATGGTGTTTTGCTGTCAATTATAGGCAAGTAGTTTTTTTTTTAATATAAAGAAGTTAGTTTTATTAAAATTAAAAAATATTTAGAATCACAATAAAGTTTTATAAGTATAATTATAAATGTAAATTAAATTATTATTAAGTTATTTTTTTATAATCATTGACACAAAGTTCACTGACAAATAATAAATTATAGTTAAGCGAGGTGAGAAAATTATCCACGAGCGTAAAACGTGTATCTAAATCAATTTGATGGTCAAAAGCAGGGAAAATCAACATGATAATAAATAAGCGTCATCTTGATCAGTCGTGGTGATGTCAAATCCAACCCTAAAAAAAAGATAAACAAAAATAACGGCTAAATGACCGAAAATTATCAAAAAGCAGAGAAAAACGTGCCACAAAATAGAGATAAACAAAGATTAACATGTTACAAAAATATAATTATTCTTCTTAAAAAACTATAAAAAAAAAATTACAATTGACGATTTATAATCAATATCAAAATCGATACCATCGTCAATTAAACAAAATTAAAGAAGAAAAAATTGATTTGATGTATAGGAATTAACATAAATTATAAATGGAAAAAAAAGGATAAGAGGGGGAGGATATTTTAATTGAATACGATGTAAATAAATGCCTCTTTGTCCATCCTATTAAGATATTTTATATGTTTTAAATTAATAAATTATGGAGAATATTAATATAAAATATGATAGTGTTTTATATACTTGAACTTCATGTTAATAATAGGAATATTAATATGTTTTTATATGATAGTGTTTTTTTGAAACTTTATGTTAATACTTTTTTTAATAATTTTTTTGCCATATTATCATTTTAAGTTGACTATCTTATTAATAAAATTTTTATTACTATGTTAATACACATATTAACATAGTAATAATCAACATCAATAAAAGAATTCACTTAATGAACCCATCAACCTTAACAATAAAAAAATATTGATTTCTCTAGATATTCTGAGTTTGAGTATTTATGTTTGCATGATATGTATGCAGTTTCAATAAGTTAAGAAAGTTCTGAACAAATATTAACTCATAATCACCTCGGACCATAAAAACATGAATTCATTTAATTTTTTTTGTGGAATAATTTCTACCTAAGAGAGGGAGAAGGGGAGTTTTACTCGTAATGGGTAATAAATTCATAAGTGATTTTAATAGTAAAAGAGAATCTTGATATGTTCTAGATACGAGCAATAAAGTTTGCAGGGTATGTGTACGTTCAATAAGTTAAAAATTCTGAATAAATACTACCTAATAATAATATTAGATCATTAAAAAAAGAATTTACTTACTTTTGATTGAATAATTTCTACCTAAGGGAGGTGAAGGGGAATTTTGCTTTTAATGGATAATAAGCCTACAATCTTGGAACAGAGTTATAGTGTTAATGGAGAGCTTTTAACCGCTTACACTAGAAATTATTGACAATAATTTACTTAATTTATTTTATCAATTAAAGTACTCAATTAAATGAAAAATTAAGAATATAATTATCTTTTTTGAAATAGTTTGAAGATATTTTTGAACCATTAATAGTAATAATAATTATTATTGTTATTATGTTAAAGAAGAAAAAGGTTCAATGGCTCCAGGCCATTGTTTTCGTCATACATTAGATCTAGTGCTACATAAGAACATGGCACATAATTGACATCCCACATGCAGACAATGCATGGTCCCGACAATGATTATAAATTATAAATTATGAACGATAGAATCCATTATAGAGAATATATGAGGAGGCATCTTGATCATATGATATAGATGGGATTAGATTATAAAATTAACAGTGATAGCCAATTCTCACACGCCTAATCACCATGAAAAAAACAAATTATTAGTATAAAATTCAAGTTGATTTGGTAATGATTCGAGTTAAAAGACTGAAGCCAATATATAATCCATTCTGGGTTTAGAAAGAAGCAATTCAAGATATCAGCCAAATGGCCTTCAACATAAAGCATGAGGCACGGGATTTCTGAGTTTTTTTTTTTTTTTTGGATGGATGGTTTTCACTTCTCACTCAAAGTCAAGTGAAATTATCCAAGAAAATTGTTATTTTAATGAGAATCAAGTGGATGGTGACGCGTGGGAAGCAGTGATTTTGATCTCTCCTTCTCTTTTTACCTTGCCACTCTTATGACTTTCATAATATTCTATTTTGGATCTCCTCTTCGATTAGAAACCAAACCCACAATCATTCAATTCATGTAGATCAAATCAAACTCATACCCAGTTTTTGTTTCTTCCGTATCCATTGAACCCAGATGTTTGTTCTTGGAGATCTTGTTCGGGCCTTGTAAATCACTGTTTCTGTTTTCGATCTGTTTGGTGCAGAGAAAATGGCGGGGAGGTCTTTTCTGAACGGTGCTGAGAATAAAGAAAGCTTGCTTTCGAGGAAAGGGTATTCGGGGTTAGGCTCCTACGCCTCGAGCGGCGGCGAGGATGGCGTTAAAGGGCGGTGTTTCCGATCGTGCTGTGATTCGATCGAGTACTTGTGGGATGGCCTTCATGAACTCACTGTCAAGTTATATGAAATGGGTCGATCGGATCCTCGTAAGATCTTTTTCGCCTTCAAAACTGGGCTCACGCTAACGTCCGTCTCGTTGCTTATGCTATTCAAAGAGCCCCTTAGGGGTGCCAGCCAGTATTCAATCTGGGCAATTCTCACTGTCGTTTTGATCTTCGAATTCAGCGTAGGTAAGTAATATATATATATATACATATGAATAGCAAGCAGTGTTTATAAGATAATATTTCTTCTGATTTTCTTAATACGAAGATGTTTCAATACGTAGCTTAGAACATTCTATTTTATCACCGATAGAAATGTAAATGAGACAGACAGATTGAGTTACTCGAGATCATTTGGTCAAAGTTTCATTAACTCTCGAATCGAATGAACCCGAGCTCAAACTCAATTTAAATTTTTAACGAGTCGAAACGAAGCCGATTCGAAAAGCTCGTGAGTAATATTAACATTTATATGCTGATACTTTCTTAAAAAAATGGACGATATAAGTTTTCATGTACTGTTTGAGCTAGCTTCAATCAAACTAAGTCTAAGAATGTTTTGAGATTAGTTTTTTCGAGCACAAGTTTTAATATTTGATTTCAAGTCAAACGTAAAAATTTTAAACTCACGAGCTTTCGTGTCGAGTCGAACTCATTTTTATACTTTTCGAGTCGAATAATACTCGAACTTGACTAGGCTCGTTTATAATCCTAGTCACCGAGTACACTCAATGGGTTCATATATACACCTTACTATCGGCAGTTGTTTTTAACCGATGTGATTCGAATATTTCGTAGGTGCAACACTCAGCAAAGGTATCAACCGATCTATAGGAACGTTTTCTGCTGGAGTGGTAGGTTTAGGCATTGCAGAGCTATCGATAATGTCCGGAGAGTATGAAGAATATGTTATTTTGATAAGCATTTTCATAGCAGGTTTGGAGTTTTTATGATCATTTGTATTTACCTAAGGTCATTCAACTTTATGTATGAACTTGTGAAATCTTTCATTTCTGGTTTAGGATTCATTGCCAACTACTGCAAATTGTACCCTAAAGTGAAAACATACGAATACGCTTTCCGGGTGTTCTTGTTGACGTTCTGTATCGTGCTGGTGTCGGGAAACAACTCGAGAAATTTCATCCACACTGCCATTTGGAGATTGCTGCATATCTTCTTTGGCGCTGGCATGTCTGTGATTATAAGTATATGTGTTTTCCCCATATGGGCAGGGGAGGATTTGCATAAATCTGTGGTGAAAAATTTCAAGAGTGTTGCTTCTTCCTTGGAAGGTTAGTCTTTTGTTTCGAATACCGATCCTCTGTGGGATTTCGAAGCTGTTCCTGTTGATGTGCGGTTCTCGATCGAGCTCGTCGAGAGTGTGAACCAACACACCTGACAGAGCTCGTCGAGACTTTCAGTAGAGCCGCACATCGATAGTGTTATTTACCGAGCCTAAATTGACGAATCGTGTTGTTTTCCAGGGTGTGTTAAAGGGTATCTGCAATGTGTTGAATATGAGAGGATTCCTTCCAAAATTCTGACATACCAAGCGTATGATGATCCATTGTATAGCGCGTACAGATCAGTTGTGCAATCTTCAAGCCAAGAGGATACTTTGCTTGATTTTGCATCATGGGAGCCTCCACATGGTCCTTACAGATCATTCAACTATCCATGGAGGAACTTTGTCAAAGTGAGTGGTGCATTGAGGCATTGTGCATTCATGGTGATGGCAATGCACGGGTGTATGCTCTCGGAAATTCAGGCACCTCCGGAGAAGAGAAAGGTTTTCGCTCTGGAGATGCAGAGGGCTTGTACCACGGGGGCTAAAGTGCTGCGTGAGCTCGGAGAAAAAGTCGAAAAGATGGAGAAGTTGAGCCCGGGAGACATACTGAGGGAAGTTCACGAGGCCGGAGAGGATTTGCAGATGAAGGTCGATGACAAATCATACCTTCTAGTCAATTCAGAAAGCTGGGCATCCCCACCGCATCACAAGGACCTCGAAGAAGAAGTTAAAGAGGACGAGTACAAAGTGGTGATCAAATCCCTGAGCGATATGTCGATGGAGCCTCCGGATTTGGTTGCCTCGGAGAGTATGGCACAGAAACCGTCTTGGCCACGTCTCTCCGTCACTGCAGAAGCATTGCTGCAGCCTGGTCAGGACTCCAAAATATACGAGAGCGCTAGCTCGTTATCTCTAGCGACATTCGCATCACTCTTGATCGAGTTTGTTGCGAGGCTCCAGAATCTCGTCGACGCGTTCGAAGAGCTTAGCGAGAAAGCGAATTTCACGGATCCCCGCGACCAACCACCTCGAAAGGAGGCAACCGGATGTTGGAACAGATTAACAAGTTGCTTCCTGTCAAACAACTAGCTAGCGAGACAAAAGGTTTTAAGATTGATTTTCTGTTGTTGTAGATTCTTTTGTTCAACTTATTATTTTACATTTGTTCATGGTCATGAAATTTTCTGATGTTTCTAATGCATTAGTTAGTAAATGCCATATATATATATAAAGGTCTAATTTTGTATTTCCTACTTCTGCTTTACAAAGCAAAAAAGTTAGTCCCCCTGTTTTACCAAAAGTCCCTCTAATTGGTCAGAGGATTGAATTATAATAAATTGAAGTATAAGGACTATGATTATTTTTTTTCCAAAATAAAGAGATTAAAGCTACAATTAGACCTAAATTAAAGATGTCGAGGTAATCAAATTAGTTCTTTTACTAAGCCCATTTGGTGTGGCTTTCTAAAATCATTTTTTTGATTAAAAACTCGGTTCGACTATAAAAATAATGTCAAACTAGTAAAAAATGAAGAAAAAATTGTGGTGAAAACAGTAGTTTCAAACTAACCGTAAAAATTAGGGTTTCTAGCTTTTTCAATTTAAAATTTACGTTTGGAAGTAAATTATAAATTTATCCTTAACAATGCATGAGTTTCACTCAATTATGTATTTATGATTTATTTTAATAATTTAATACTAACATCCTTAAAAATAATTTATTTTAATTACTAATATTTTTAAATACTTTTTTGTCAAAACAAATATTTAAATTATTATTTCATAATAATTTTATGTATGCATATTAAAAAATATTACTAATATATTTTTCTTAATAAAATATTTCATATATAAAAATATTATTAGTGAGTTATCTTAAAATATTTTTATATTTCTATTATATTTTAAGTTTATATATTTTTATATATCATAATATTAATAAGTGTAGATATAATTTAAATGTTATGTTTTTAATTTACAATATAATATCTATAATGGAAATTTTATCTTTTTAAAATCATTTTTTAACAACAATTCCAAACAATTAAATTTTAAAATGTACTTTTGAACAATACTTTTAAAAGTCACTTTCCAAAAGTTGCGTTAAATTAACCCTAAGAATTAATACAGCGAACTATATATAATATAGAAGGGTTAAGGAATCATGTCCTAATTTTTATTATTTAATTCAATTTTAGATTGAATAAATGTCAAAATCAACAAAAATGAAGTCTTCGTCTCTTTATTGTTTTTATTTAAATATATTTTTTTAATTTATTCGTTTCAAGATTCAAATCTAATTTCGTCTTTGAATGAACATAAAGTGCAACTTGAAAGTCTTCAAATGTGAATTTATTCAACAATAGAAAGAGGGTTTGTATAATTAACTGTTAATGTTTAGGTAACTGATAATAACCCTAAGTTTAAATAGTAATTTAGATTAAATTGACTTGAATTATAAAGGACTTACCTAAGGCATGGTTCGGGTGAGCTTAAAATTGTAATTTATGATTCGAATGACAGCGCGTTGGAATAATAAATTATAAAATTGTTAAAAAAGGGATAAAGTATAAAAATGGTCTCCCGACTATAAGGTACAACTTCATTAAGTCCTTCGGTTATTAAAAAATATAAAATGATCCTTTGACTATAGTGTGTTTCTCTGTTGAGTCCATCGACTGTTAAAAGTTACAAAATGGTCACCTGACTATTCATTATGTTCTAAACTCGTCATTTTCTGTTAAAAAATTAACTGTTGTCTGAACTGAACGTTAGCATGATGAATGAGATATGCTAGTTGTTTGAAATTTTAGGATTGGATTCTATCATATCAGAGTCAATAGGTTAACGTCCAACTCAGATTGTCATCAATTTTTAACCAAAAATGATGAAATTGAAACATAATGAATAATTTGGTGACTATTTTGTAACTTTTAACAGTCGAGAGACTCAATAAAGCAACCCTCTATAGTCAAAGAACCGTTTTATAACTTTTAATAGTCGAGGGACTCATTCGTATATTTTACCCTAAAAACAATTAAGGTGGTAATGCAACTTAGCTTATGAAGATTATATAAAAAGAGCACATAAACAGTTGTTTTTGCAAGGTTCAATTAGTAATGACCATGCAGAAGCAAATGCAATACTTGTTTATTTATTAGCTCCCTCTGATAAACACCATCAAGTTAACCCCATTCTTCTTCTCTTCTTCTGCAAGCTTGTTTCTTTCTTCTCATGGAACCTTGTAGCCTGAAAAATAGCAACAAAATCAATATTTCTTAACCTTGTTTTAGGTTGACTTGATTCAATTTTCTCGGCAGCCAATCAAGTAAAATATTGCTACAAAGCCCCCTAATCTTTTAACTTTTCTCAAGTGAGATCCCATAGTTTTGATTTGTATCCAAACAAGTCCTTATATTAAAAGAAGAGGGCTACTTACTTCCACATTTCTTCCCAGATTGCCTGTTCCTAATGTTGCACCTTTTAGGGATGCCAATGGCAATTCCAGGATTGATTCCAGCCTGCTTTGCCAATGGTGATAACAATATAGCACATAGGCACCTCGGAGAAGCTTTGAGCAAGGCACCAACCTTAGAGCAACAACCAGGCGGAACTTTCACCTTCGCGTTCCCGGCCGTTCCTAAGCACGGGCTTAAACTTACCGCAGCCGACCTAATCGGGGTCTTCCCGCACTCCCCGGCTGCTTCGATTTTGTTAGCGCACATCACGGAACTTATACCGAACACGAACAATGCAACGAGGAAGTAAGGTTTTAAGCCAACACCCATGTTTCTTAAGCTCCAAAGTTCACACTTCTCAACACAATTTCCTAACAACTGACACTATGTATGTATATATACACACACACACAAATGAGGGGACGAAGGGTTGTGTGGTGGTTGAATGTGGAAGACCTTTTTTCAAGGTTCATCATCTTCTTCTTCCTTAGTTTATTCAATGTGGGATCTTTTTTGAACCAATTTTAAATCTTACACTATGTCAAAAGGCAGGGGAGGAGCTAGGGGTCAGGCCCTAAAATGGAAAAAATGTTCTATAGTCCTTTAAGAAATTATATAGTTATAAATTAGTACAATTAAAAACTGCAATTCTGACCCCTTAAAAATCTGTGTCCCTAGTAAAATGATTGCCAATCGTTTACTAATTATCATAGAATTTTCTGGTTATATGTAGAATTCCCCCCATTTATACTAGAGGTGTTCATAATTCGCTTAAAACCCAATTAACCGACCGAACCAAATTTTTCGTTGGATAATCGCTCGATTAATTTTAGATTCGGTCGGTTAACGGTTAAAGATTTTTTTTTCAAATTTCAGTTTCGGTTAAGTTGGTTCGAAATCGGTTAATTAACCGAATAAATCAAAATCATTAAATATTTAATATATTATACATATTATTTAGCTTTAGATGTATTTAAACTTCGATTTTAACCCAAAAAACCAAAAATATTTAATATTTAATATAATATATATTATATATTATTTCTATATTAATTATAAATTTCGATTAATTCGATTAACCAACCAATTAATTGAACAAAATCGGTTCGATTAACGATTAAAGTGGGAAAATTCAATTAATGAAATAGAGATAAAATACACAAATAATTATTAAAATATACATAAATAATCTTTTTAGTCATTAAAAGTTTACAAATTATAAAATGGTGATTAAAATTTTCAAAATATCACAAAATTGTTATTCCGCACTATATCTATTTTAGTAATTATATCAACACCAAGGCCTTTTGACTATCGGCATGCTTGGAATTGGAATCATTCAATAATTCCCTCCACTATGATCTATACGAGTGGTGCCGACGGGTCAAGTTAGGTTCCAAGACTAAGAAAAAGTATTAAATCATAAATATTTTAAAGTCATTATACTATTTTTCATAAAATAGACCGTAATGAACTACCACATGGATAATTAAAATACCATATAATTAAAGAAAACAAAACACGTCAACACATACATAAATATCTTAGAAAAAAGTCTAAGCCCATCGAAGAGAGATTCAGAATCCCAAAAAAAAACATTGTTTACAAGAAAAGTTCAACTCAAATGGATCCACTGGTAGATTTCAGGCCAGTTTGCTCAACATGCTGAAGCTTGAAAAATGAAGATGAAAAAAAAAACCAAACAGAAGGGTGTTAGAATCTTAGAACAAATCTTAACAAATTTTGTTCTTGTTGGATTTTCTCTCACTGACATATTTCTTCCAGTAAGCCATGACTTCCCTTTGAGTCTCGATATCAGTCTTCTTAACGGTGCCGTTTTGCGCGTCCGCTTCGCCGGCGATGGCCAGTTTGGCATTGACCTTAGCGGGGAGGGTGTCGAGCTCGTGGAGCACCTTCTCGATGTCGATCACGAGTCGCTCGGCCAGGGTGCGGGAGAAGTCTTCCCTGATCACGACGCGTAGCACGGTGATGTGCTGAGCGTCGGCCGGCATGGTGTAGGCCGGCACGATCCAACCAAATCGGCGCAACATGTCGGATATCTCGAACTCGTTGTGACGCTTGTTGTCCTTGAGGGAGAATGCCACCAGAGGAACACCGTCGTCCTTGGACACGATGTTGTATCGCCCTGTTTTCTCCAACCCTTCTTTCAGGACCATGGCGTTCTCATGACAATTCTCCATCACATTCCTGTATCCCTGTATGATTCAAACACCGTTGCATCACATAATTCACATTAGTATTAGATAAAGCAACTAAGCACAAGTATCTATACACATCACAGCAGATCCTATGGTCCGATTCGGATTAACGCAACATTATCCGTATTGTCTTAACTCGGACGGAATTACGATGAAATTATGGACCATAGGGGTTCACCATGTCCCCTTACATACCTCATATCCCAAACGGATCAGTTGGTAGTACTGAGCAATGACTTGACTAGAACCTGCAGATAAACATAACACAAGTTTAGCGTTGGTTCATACATAGTTACATACATGCATACATACATACTGTAAATTGGGAAAAATAAGAGAAGAAATTGGATTGGCAAAGTGACCTTTGGAGAAATTGAGAGTGAAAGTGGGTTGATCAGCTCCAAGATAGTTAATGTGGAAGATGAGTTCTTCAGGCAAATCATCTTTGCTCCTCCAGATAACCCAACCAATACCAGCATAAACAAGACCATATTTATGGCCACTCACATTAATACTCTTCACAAGGGGAAGCCTAAAGTCCCACTCGAGTTCTGGATACAAAAATGGTGCGATAAATCCGCCGCTAGCCGCATCAACATGGATCGGGGTATCCCACCTGCAGATAACAGATCAATAAGTCACACTTGAAAATTCATATTATCATCATGTTCATGCAAAAAAAAAACAGATGCGATATGTTACCCCGTTTCTTTGTTCTTTTCGATCAAGAGGTCGTTTAGAAGCTTGACGTCTTCGAATTCGCCATTGAGGGTGGAACCCAAGATTGCAGCAACACAGATGGTGTTTTCATCGACCATTTCCACTGCCTTGACAGGGTCCATCACGTAGTACCCTTCACTGAGTTTCACTTCTTTCAACTCAACTTCAAAGTACCTAGCGAATTTCTCCCAGCAGACCTGAACATTGGCACCGGTCACGATGTTGGGCTTATCATAAGGTTTCCCTTCAGCTTTACGCTTGTTTTGCCATTTTCTCTTGAAAGCAAGGCCGGCCAACATGATTGCCTCCGACGAACCAACGGTTCCCACTCCCACGGCAGCCTCGCCGTCCCCCAACGGCGCGTTGAACAAGTGTGCTATTATGTTCACACACCGATTCTGCATCAAAAAGAAAAACAAAATCAGTCACAGATCAAGGTGGTTTGACTTTTTTCCCCCTTGAATCTAAAACAAGAAGATATAGTCTATAGATCTACCTGAAGCTCAGTGGTGACAGGGTATTCATCCATGTCAACGTAGTTCTTGTTAATGGAGTCCATGATAAGCTTATCACATTCAGGTTCCATCCAAGTAGTAACAAAAGAGGCAAGGTTCAACCTGGGGTTCCCATCCAGCATCAGTTCATCGTTGATGATCTGAAACGCAGCTTCCTTTGGTATAGAGTTTTCCGGCATCTTGAACCTGCAAATTTTTTTATTTACATATAAAAATTAGTAAACTTTTTTTCCGCCATTGATGGAAACTCAAAATGCTTCATGTTTCGTGGGATCATTTTTACCTGGGAAGTGAGTCTCGGACATAACGTGAGGCAAAAGTGGAGTGAATCGAGACATCACTTTGAGATGCTGTCTTGGATAACACCATTGTTGAGAAAATGTAGTACCAGAAAGAGAGAGATCGAAGATTTTTTTTTTTGGTATAAAGTTAAAGCAGTTGATGCTTGGTGAAGGGAAGCAGAGAAATGGTATTTATAGGGGGATGTTTATTGTTTTGGTCTTTGCCACGTGTCCACCATCATGTACATGAACCCTGGCTGCAGGTTGGCTGGTTGTTTCCGCGCTCACAGGCCGAACATATTGAAAATTCAATAGCCAAATTAAAGGTAAAAGACGGTTACAAGTAAATGGAGCTTTCCAGCTCACCTCTAATTTTATAGTTTTCTAATTACCTGTTTCCCACTTCTGGGAACTTTCCCACTCGTTGCGCAATAAAAGTTTTGGGTAAACTACATATTTAATCATTCATCTATTCGTGTGGTTTAGTTTTGATCATCTAACTATTCTTTTAAAATTATATTTAACGTCACATTTTGATCCTGTTTTGATCACCTACCATTAAAAAATAGACTTATTGATATGACAACTTTTATTTTTCTAATTACTATGTGAGTATGTAACATTAACTTATGGTAACACGTTGACATCATTAATAACTTTTCAATGATAGATGACTAAAATGGAGCTAAAACACAATGTTAGTTACGGTTTTGAAAATAAATAATAGGATGACTAAAACAGAACTGCGAGAATAAGTGGGTGACTAAATAATAGTTTACCCAAAATTTATTTGGCTAATCTATAGATTTCATCACTAATTTTTTCTAACTTTTATTTTGGTTACCTCTATTATGAAACCAAGGAAATGACCATCCAGCTCAGTTGGTAGAGCACATGGTTCTTAACCTTGAGGTCGTGGGTTCGAGTTTCACGGAGGGCATTTCATAATTTGGAGGTCTCTCACGGAAGCTGCTCTCAACCTGGCATTGGGGGCAGCCTACTATCTTACATCTCCTTTCCCCATTACATATGGGAATAAGGGTCAGCTAATTTTATTAGGAAACCAAGATAATACAATTTTGTTGATGATATAAAATATATGTATTTGTATGTGTAATTACACAATATTTTGGATAATGTGAGGAAGAACAAATAATTTTATTTATTTTTTAATAAATAAATATAAAATACGAGGATCTATAATTAAAATTATTATTTGAGGGCTAATACAATCCAAACTATCAATATTAAAATATTCATTAAATATCTTATTTATATCTATTTAATATAAAAGAATTAAAGTATCTGCAATAGTGGGGATGGATGGTTAATTAATTTTAATAATAATATTTTAAAATTATGTAAAATTAAAAAAAAATTACTAGCGGATGATATCCCCTCTCTAAAGATTTGACATACCACATGCAACCATTACACGTTGACAGCAGAAGTTTAATCCTCTGTAATTTATCCTTTTGTTCACCAAAAAAAAATTAAAATTAACATAATACATTATTTAAATGTGAATAAAATGGTACTTATTTTTATAATAAAAATATAAAAATAATTTTAAAAAATAAAATATAAATATTTAATTGTTT